AGAGCTAGTTCCAGGACAGGCTCCAAAACCACAGAGAAACCCTGTCTCGAAAAACCAAAAAAAAAAGATTTTTTGTTAGATTTCTGTTGCTTTATTTTAGATTATTATTATTATTATTTTGTGCTGTTTGGGCCTGCCAAAGGCTCTAACAGCATTTTTTAAGCTTTTATTTAATTTTGTTTGATGTGCATTGGTGTTTTGCCTGTATGTATGTCTGTGTGAGAGTGGAACCGGACTTAAAGACAGTTGTGAGCTGCCATGTGGATGCTGGGAATTGAACCCGGATCCTATGGAAGGGCAGTTATTGCTCTTAACCACTGAGCCAACTCTCCAGCCCCTATTTATTTGTCTGTTTATATACATCACCATACCTGCCTGTTTGTTGGAGTTGCTGGATAAAACTTCTACCCTCACCCTCCAAAAAATAAATCCAGAGAGATTCTGTTTATTCACGATTGTTATACAGTAACTGGAAAGGTGGCAAGAGGGCCCTGGCTTGACTCCAGTCTGATGCCCTCTCCTGAGCCCTTGGTACTGACTGCTCGTGGTACACAGATAGACAAGCAGGCATTCACACATACACATAAATAGAGGGACATGGTGGGTATGTGCTTAATCGTAGTGCTCAGGAGGCAGAGGCAGATGGGACCTCTGTGAGTTCAAGGTCAGCCTGGATGCTGGGCTTGGGATGCATGGGGAGGAAGAGGCAGGCAGCTCTTTCTGTGAGAGTTGGAGGCCAGCCTGGTAAACAAAGTGAGTTCCGGACAGCCGGGCTGTCTGTCAAACAGAGAAATCCTGTCTTGAAAACCAAACCAGAGCTGGGCAGTGGTGGCGCACGGCTTTAATCCCAGCACTCGGGAGGCAGAGGCAGGTGGATCTCTGTGAGTTTGAGGCCAGCCTGGTCTACAAGAGCTAGTTCCAGGACAGGACAGGAACCAAAAAAGCTACGGAGAAACCCTGTCTCGAAAATTCAAAAAAAAAAAAAAAAAAAAAAGAAAGAAAGAAAACCAAACCAACAAACAACAATAACCAAAAACAAACGAAAAAAGCAGCCTGGTCTACATAGCAAGCTCAAGGGTACTCAAACTAAGTACATAAAAAGCCAGGTATGTTGGATGCCTTTAATCCCAGCGCTGGGGAAGATAAGGTAGAGAAAAGTGGTTCTCTGTGAGCTCAAGGCCAGCCTGGTCTGCAAAGTGAGTTTCAGGTCAGCTAGGGATACACAGAGAAACCCTGTCCTTGAAGGAAATAATAATTTTTTAAAAGATTGGCATGAGAGCTGGGCGGTGGTGGCGCACGCCTTTAATTCTAGCACTGGGGAGGCAGAGGCAGGTGGATCTTTGTGAGTTTGAGGCCAGCCTGGTCTATAAGAGCTAGTTCCAGGACAGGCTCCAAAGCTCTCGGAAAACAAAAACAAAACAAAAAAATTGGCATGAGCCAGGCTGTGGTGGTACACAATACACACCTTTAATTCCAGCATTCAGGAGGCAGAAGCAGGCTGGTCTCTGAGTTTGAGGCCAGAGCGAGTTCTAGGCCAGACTCCAAAGATACAGAAACCCTGTCTCAAAAAAGAAAAAAATAAAAAAGATGATTGGCATGTTGGCTAGGTGCAGTGGCATGTGCCTTAAATCCCAGCACTCAGGAGGCAGAGCCCAGTGGAACTCTGAGTTCAGAGAGTTCCTGGTCTACACAGGGAATTCCAGGATATCCAGTCCTTTATAGAGAGACCCTGTCTCAAATCCAGAAGAACAAAACAAAGAGATTCACATGCTAAGCTGGACTCTAGACCTGCTGCCCGGACAGTCGGAAGCCAGTGAAGCTTCAGGTGAGGCTGGTATGTCTGTGCTGATGCTAAGGCATTGCCTGGTGTGCTAGGCTGAAGACTGCAGCTGGAAGCAGGAAAATGCTGACTGGGATGTTGCCCGTAGTGGTTTGGACCGAAGATGCAACCTGGAAGGACTCTTCTGGGGAAGAATTCACTAAAAAGCAGTGTGTGTGTTTGTGTACATGCTGGCTATTAGAGCAGGAGAAGAGCTGAAGACAGAAGGACCACCTAGGACTAGGAAGCCATTATGAAGAGGCTTCCTGTGCCTGTATGGGGCGGGCCAGGAAAAGGAGGGAAAAACTGAAATAAGGTTTTTTTTTTTCATAGCCACTGGAGTTTATTGTCTCTGGGAAACTCAGAGTCCAATCCAAATCAGCATCCTGCTCTACACCTTCCCTGTATCCACCCACATTCTCCCCCATCTCTCTTTTTTTATTGACATTTATTAAGCTCTACATTTTTCTCTGTTCCCCTCCCTGCCTCTCCCTTCTGCCCTTCATCCCTCCCCCAAGGTCCCCATGCTCCCAATTTACTCAGGAAATCTTGTCTTTTTCTACTTTCTACTTCCCATGTAGAAATAAGGTCTTAATGGAGTTAAGAAAGACAAGGTATGTGTCTGTAACTAAGTATGGTGGCATGTGTCTGTAACTTCAGCACTCAGGAGACAGAGACAGGAGGACTGCCATGAGTTCTGTTCTAGGACTACTTTGCTCTGGTCTCAAAAAATCAACAGCTGGGACCGTATCTCAGTTGGTAGAGTGCTTGCCTAGCGTGCACCAGGTTTGGTTTTGATCCCTCCTGTACTACATAGACTAGGTAGGGTTGTGCAGGCCTGTGATCCCAGCTGCTGGGAGCTTGCAGTTGAAGCTTTGGGAGTTCAAGGACACTTTTATTTCTCTGTGTATCTTTGGAGCCTGTTCTGGAACTCACTCTGTAGACCAGTCTGACCTCCAACTCAGAGATCCGCCTGCCTCTGCCTCTCCCGAGTGCTGGAATTAAAGGCGCCACCACCGCCAGCTAAGACTTTTAAGTTTGAAACCAGCCTCTAATACATAAAATCCTGTCCAAGAAGGAGCAGGAGAGAGATAAGGACAAGAAAGGAGAGAAATGAGAAGAAGGTGGAAGGAAGTGAAGGAGAATAAGACTGCCTCTGCATCTGGGGATAGAGCATACGCACAAGGACCCGGGAAGCGAAAGAAAAAGATGTGGGGGATGTGAATGCAGGATCATAGGGAAGAGCTTGGCACCCTGCAGCTCCTTCATGGTCAACCCCCAAATTCAACGGTAGTCACTGAGCTTGGGGTGGGAACAGTGAGAAGCAATGCGTGCTAAGGCCAGACCCATGCTACTCTAAGGGCTGGGGAAGCGCTTAGCCAAGCTTGCACTGGAATTCCCCACATTAGCCCACAGCAAAACAGTGAGCTGCTGGGAAGCCGGCTCCCAGGCCAGGAATGCTGCCAGGAATGAAAATGTTGAAGCCAAGAAAGGAAGCCAGAAGCTTGCTATCAGCTGCCAGCGAGGCAGGCTGAGGCAGCAAGCCTGTCTCTTATGCAGCCTCAGCCTCCCTGTGCAGTGGAATTAAGAAAAGAAGGTTTTAAATGTTTTTATTCTTGGTTTGTTTGTTTGTTTGTTTGTTTGTTTTTGCAATAGTCTCCTATAGCCCAGGCTGACCTTGAATTCTATGAAGCTGAGGACATCTTTGTCCTGCCTCCGAGTTTGGGAATTATGGGCATTTGTGGACTGCCACGTCACACCGATAGATAAGAAAACTTGGCTAAATGACATTAACTTGCGTACCCGAGCTTAGATTTCTCTCTAGAAAGGGGTTGTGCTGTGAACTAAAAACCCACGAGAGGGCCGGGCCTAGTGGAACACTTCTGTAATCTCAGTCACTCAAGAGGCTGAGGTTCAAGGCTAGCCTGGGGACTGAGCAAGAGCATTCTGAAAACAGAAGCGATAAAAGGGCTGAAGATATCTGTGGCTGGCCAAGCCCTGTGTTCAATCTTGACCAAAAAAAAAAAAAAAAGGGCCAAGAATTAGAAGCCAGGAACATGTCAGGAGGCAGTGTCTTGTCATTTGCCCTCCAGTCCCCTGGGGCGTCTGAGGCTGGCACCACTGTAACCCTTTCTCTCCCAGAGTCAACACTGGCATGGGCCTGAGTCCTGCTTCCTGCTGGGAGATCTGGGGTTTGGGGCTCTGTGGAGGAGCCGGACACCTGCCCAGTCCTCTTCCAGCTTGATGTCCCCCTGCTGCAGGGCCTGTTCGATGGCGCGGGCGACAGTGTCAAATGCCAGGTCCACATTGCAGTTACTTTTGGCCGAGGTCTCCATGAAGGCCATGCCCAGCGAGGCAGCCAGTTCCTCTGCCTCCTGGGTGGAGACACTTCGGCTGCTTAGGTCGCACTTGTGGCCAATCAATAAGAAGATCACTTTGTCAGGGCCCTGAGAGGATAAGACCTCCTGGTGCCAGGCTTGGATGTGTTCAAAGGATTCTCTGTTGGTTACGTCGAAAACTAACAGAACGCCCACCATGTTCCGGTAGAAGGATCGGGTGATGGTCCTGGGGGATGGGGGTAAATTAGGGTAAACATGCCTTTTAAGACGGCCTCAGAGGGCCCCAAGATCCTCAGGCTTCCCACTCGTTCCAACACAAGGTCTGTCAGTCCCAAACTGGCCTTGAATCCCTGATCTGCCTTCACTCCTAATTGCGGAGACGGCGGGAGGTGTTGGGGAAAGGGTACAGTCCCCTTCCTCTTCATATCTGTTGTTTCTGACTCCTTGGCTGGCAACTCCCACCTATGGCTCCACACCAGTCTTCCTTCCTCCCCATCCCCTTGAGCTGTCTCTGCAACCAGGTTATTTATCTCCGCGGGAAGTTCAATGTTTCAGCGCAAATTCCCTAAGCTGACTTTTCCTTTAGGGTTGGGAAAGGGCTTTGGGACGGCAGGGGTACGGGGTGGGTGGGTGTGGTTCAGTGACAGCATTTGCTGGGGTTGGGGGGCTTGGCACACCCCGCGGAGTTTGTAGGATGAATGACTGAGTAGGGAGAGGTGGGGAGGGGAGGGTCCACAGAGTCCCTGCGGTTGGCACCGGCAGGCGTACGTCCCCCCAGGTGAGTGGTATTGATTTCCCCCTTTCCCGCCGCACCTGAAGCGCTCGTGACCCGCGGTGTCCCAGAGCTGCAGCTTGACCCGCAGCCCGGCGGGCAGCTGCAGCGCGCGACTGTAGAACTCCACGCCCACAGTGGGCTCCGGCTCCGGCTCCACCGCACCCCGAGCGCCCGCCACGTAGCGCCGCAGCAGTGACGTCTTGCCCACCGCGGCGTCCCCGAGCAGAGCGATCCGGAATTGGTAGCTGCAGCCCGCTGCCTCCATGGGATCTGGGCTCCAGGCAGACCTCGGACAGTTTTGTGCTGCCCCGCCTCTCCTGTGCGGCCCTCCTCCTCCATCTCCTCCTCTTCCTCCTCCGGGTTCCTGGTCCTGGCACAGCCTCGAGGAAGGATCACTATCCTCCTGGGGAGCCTGGTCCGGGAAGACCAATCCTTAGTATAGTTGGTCGGTCAGGTCACTAGCTCTGTAAAATGGGGACAGTGACAACCTCTGCTTCACAGGATAAAGAAATTAAAATAGCTGGGCACTGCGGCATACACCTTTTCTTCTTTTTGGTTTTCGAGACAGGGTTGCTGTGTGTGTGGCTATGGCTGTGCTGAAACTCGCTTTGTAGACCAGGCTGCCCACGAAATCACAGAGATTCGTTTGCGGCCGCCTACTGAGCGCTGAGGTTAAAGGCTACCACCGCCCGGCCGGGCACCTCTGCAGGAGGATGTCCTTCGCATCACTCTAGGCAGTGGCTGGTTTCCAGACACACCTTCCTTGTTCGGGTTCCCCTTTCCTGTAGTGTCATTAGCCCTGCCTGGGGACTTCACCAGCTCAAAGGTGCAGGTGAATGACCAACAGCTCTTATGCCTGAACAGCAGGGCCCCAGGACAGAGCTGCAATTGCTCACATAGAGGAGACAAGACACACAGTGTAACCCTAGAGCGCACGGCTGTCCTGAAGACAAAACCCAGGGAGTATGAGGCTAGCTGCTTTCTGGGAGTAACACTTAGATTTGGCTCTGTGGCCTATTTTAGGGATTAGGAGACCAAGATTCAGAGGTGTCGCTTGTCTCAGGTCATACAGTGCCACCTGGGGTCACAATAACTCACGATCCTCTTGATGCCCCGAAAAGGGAACATAGGGAAGTCAGAAAACCAGGACTTGGGTCCCACTTGGATTAAAAGCTCATATAAGGACTGCATGGCCTGTCTGCATCTAAATCTGGTTTCCCGAAGCTTAAGGAATCTAGGCTGGAACTGACTGGTGGTCCCGGGCAGTTTTAATCTCTGTTTTCTTTTCAATCCCTCTGAGAGGGTCTTGCCGGTTTGATGCTGAAATTAGGGATGGTGGGAAAGCCCTCGGTGCTGGGTGCTGCAAACCATCTTTGTTTTTTTTTTTTTGTTTTTTTTTTAAAATACTTATTTATTTCAGTATTCTGTCTGTATGTATGCCTGGAGGCCAGAAGAGGGTACCAGACCTCATTACAGATGGTTGTGAGCCACCATGTGGTTGCTGGGAATTAAACTCAGGACCTTTGGAAGAGCAGGCAATGCTCTTAACCACTGAGCCATCTTTCCAGCCCTGCAAACCATCTTTGGATCATTAGGTTTCTCTCTCACGCAGCCTGGAGCAGGCGGTTATTCTGTCCATTTCTATAGCTGAAGAACCGGAAGCTTGGAGAAGTTACATCACAAGCCCAAGCTTGCAGGAAGGAAGACTTCAACACCTAGTAAATCTACACAATCCCAAAGTTTTGTTTTGTTTTCTCGAGTCAGGGTTTCTCTGTGTAATAGCCTTGGCTGTCCTGGAACTTGCTTTTGCGGACAAAGGTTTGTTTATTCTTTAATTTTCTCACCACATAGATCTGGGATCTGGACCAGCCCAGGACTCTTCCCATCCCTTTCCCTTTTCTTATGTGTACTTATCTGTGTGTGTGGGGGGGTGAGAGTGGGTGCACATGGTCCTTCTACCTTTTAGGTACCCAGGGATTGAACTCAGGTCATCAGGCTTGGCAGCAAGTGCCGTTACCCAATAAGTCATCTTGATGGCCCTCGTCTCACTGATGCTAAACAAAGAAACAAAAAGCCATTTCTATCACACCTAATAGCCAGTGCAGCTGGCACATCCAGAGAGGGATGAAACAGTGGGAAATGAGCCCGCCAAGGGCAGGCTGTGCAGCCCTCGGGTCGGCCCTCGTGGGCTGTGCAGTGTCAGCAGCAGCGTCTTTGAACTTCCTCTGTCGGAGGCTCCCACTAGGGCTGACTAGGGCTGCGGCCGGTCATGTGTTTGCCTCTGATTGCACTTGGCACCAGAATCCACGTGTCAGCTGACCCACGCCGTAGATAAGGCTGTGGAACCCAAGGGGCTAGCCATTTCCCTTCCCTGGGTCCTGCTTCCTCGTCTGCTACAGCACATGAGGCAGCTCACACAGAACTGTAGACCCCAGCAGCCTTAGCAGATTTCTCTTGGGGAGATTCGGGTGTGGTTCAAAGGTCACTGACCGGTTATGCAATAATCATCACTGGATGATGATGCTGACTTCTAGTATGTTTTAATGTCCTGACCTTCATATGTGCCTGGCCATGTGCACCCCCCACGCTCCCACAGGTGCCCTGACCATGTGCACCCACCCACACACACACAGGTGCCCTGACCATGTGTACCCACCCACACACACACAGGTGCCCTGACCATGTGTACCCACCCACA